CCTCCAGAATTCTAGTGGCTACTTTTGAATATGAGGGTTGGTAAAAATGCTGTTAAAATATGGAAGGGGACAGATTTAGGGCATGGTTTAATTTCTGGCATCTGAAGAAACATCTTTAATACAATGAAGAAGAAATAATTGCATATAGTTTTTGATTACTGGTGGCCGGAAGCGCTACAAACCTCCCTATAGTACAACACATATTCAAGTCTTTTCAATTATGACGTCTTTTAATCTGACATATAACTTCTCATTTTCTACAAAAACTTAGTTCTTGCTTTGCAATGTTTATCGAGGCTGGGGATGCTATAACTGGGCTGCAAAAATTAGATGTCACTAGATGGAAGTAGAACGTTAGCATGTTTTAAACTCTTTCCTGACATTTAGGAGTTCTTTATATTTTTGCCACTCTGATATGGTAACCCTAAGACCTGCTCAGTCAGGTCTTTGTATGTCTGCAAGCCTGCTATTCAACATCCTTAGCGTGCCAATAAAATCCTTTTCATTGTTTTAAAGAAAAGTTGACCAATTCTTTGAGAAATGGAGGACAAAAAACTCCTGACTGTTGAAACAAACGTATTTGCAATGGTAATATTTTTATTTTTAATATTTATTTATTTTACAGTATTTATTTTTATCCAGCCTTTATTATTTTTATAAACAACTCAAGGCAACAAACATATCTAATATTCCTTCCTTCTTCTGTTTTGCCCACAACAACTCTGTGAGGTACGTTGAGCTGAAAGTGAGTGACCGGTCCAAAGTCACCCAGCCAGCTTCCATGGTTAAGGCAGGACTAGAACTCAGAGTCTCCTGGTTTATGTTATAAAACATATAATATTAAAAGTTACATTGCAGGACACTGCACTGGTATATCAGAAGTTGGGGTACACATTTCAGGTTATGTAGTATAGTAGGAATTATAGATTTTTCATCATTGCCCAAACTTGTGCAAGAGTCCTTCAGAATAGGTCAAACCTTATAAATGTGTCAAATTTGCATAATCTTTCACAATTTCAGAACTTTTTATTTTCATTTATTTATTAATTCATTCATTCAATTTCTACAGCTGTCCATCTCAATCCAATTGAATGCCAAAATCTCATGTGTTTTTCCTGTAATGTAGTGAGATTTGGGCATTTATCCTAAAATTATGTAAAATTATGTAAGATCTTGTTTTTTAATATTTTGACATCTCATAATGTTTCACTATCTCACAACGTTTTGAATATTTCTTTTTATCTGCTTTGTTTTGAAGGTTCCACAGCTGCCATCCAAGGGAATTCCAGGAACAACCAATCACAGAAATAAAATCGGTTGGGAGCACAATATAGCTCAGGTAAGCTTTGCATAAATGGAAAAGTGTCACAACAATCACTGATGACTCAAAAAGAGACTAGTGTGCTGATTTTGGAAGATATATATTCCTGCTGCTTTCCTAATGCTCCTTTCCTGTATAATCTGCCTGTTCTTGTTTCTATTTCTTCCCAACTCATTCTGTACTAGTCAGAGTAGGCAAGAAGCAATGTTTTAAACAAATCTCATGCAGCTATGAAATCACTGTAGAATCATCTCAGCAGAAACCTCAGGTGGGAAACTCAGATCCTGATGAGATGCCATTATTGGTCCCTGCCGGCTAAATGGAACCATCAGTTCTTACCAAGAGAAATGAGCTAATTTAAATAATGGGTCCAAAATCCAGGATCCATTACTCCCAGAACAGTTGTATCTGTGAACGTGTGGCCATTGCAGTAAGCTGGGGTCAGCTATAGTCATATGATCTTGATGTCCAATGCTGACTGCCAGCTTCCCACAGGCAGTCATTGGGAAAGCCAGCAGGAAGTCAAAAGTCACTCCCACTCCCACTGATTATTCTGCTTCTTTATTAAATAAGGAAATATCCCTGAAAGGATGGCCCAATTGGTCATAGGTCATCTACTTGAGTTCTAAATGTAGTTTACCCCACACTACACAGTACAAGAAAAACAAGTCTAAAAAGAAGGTTCAGATTTACACAGCTGGATTGTCAAGAAGTCATCGTTAGAAAAGGGGAAGTGTCTAGGAAAGGGGTGACGACTCAACTTCATGATAGGTGAGTAGGAATTCGTCTGTAATTTTCGACGGGCGTATTGTAATAGACAAGGATAACGGTCAAGGGTAGACGACGACGAGGTTTAGTAAAGTCAGTGGGCTGGAGAGAGGTTTTATTTCCACTGGTTCGGATTGTCTACTGCCCTTGGAGAGCACTGGAAGAAGAAGGAAAATATTAATCTGGTACATCTAAGGACAAGCGAAGGCCATCTCATTTATGGGCTGAGAATAAGATGAAGGCCATGTTATGAGGACATAACAGAAAAAAAAACTGTTGCCAAGGGCATTTTTGTGCTGTAGTTAATGCAAGTGGGAGAAGATTTTTAGTCTCTGTGACATGGCAATTTATTCATTTAGTAATTCTTATACTATAATTTTAGCCAACAACTGAATTTTTTTTAGCTCTTCCTTTATTTCGTGGCTCCTCAATTGAAACATATTCAGTATGATTATGATAAGAACCCGACTTCACCAGACAGGGCAGTTCCCAACATTTGGACACAGGCAGCTAGAATAATTTGCTACAACAAAAGCAATAAAGAGACTCTTAGGCACCTCAAAGGTTAAATGACTTGTGAAATAGAAGTCACTTTATCTAAACATGTCGCAATAAGTCTGCTGGTCACCTCCAGCCCTTTTAAAGAGCAGGTTATAAGCAAATGTTTGGGGCATGATTTGTTCGCATGATCATTAATATTTTGAAGTACATCATGTCTCATTTTGTGGGAAGAGGTGATGAGGAGAAATAAGAGAGATTTACAATTTACCACTGCACAATGCAAATAAAGTCGAAGATTTGCAAAGCTGTGAAACCTGTTGGACCATGGAGTGGAGGTGAGGACCTTAAGGCTCATCTAACAGAAAGATCACCATACAGAAAGAAAAATGCATTTGGCAATGCTTGATCTTTGAAGAATTCCACAACACAAAACACCCCTCGATTATTAAGTACAGGGAAAACTGAGACAAAATTTCAAGCATGGGTATGGAGGTGTATTACGTGGATGACATGTAAACAGAAGTTCACGAGTACCACTGGGAATTCTTCCCTCCTTTGCCTCCCAGAGTCAAAGCAGCATCTTTGTTCCTTCAGATTCTATTCATGAAGGTCTCTCCCTTCTACCAATTGCTGCAGTAGCATATACCAAGCTGTTATTCACTATCCTAGCTTACAGAATCTGTTAAATGCAGAAAGATCTCTGGGCAGCTTGTTGCTTCTATTCTTGCTAATGGTCATTTTTGTTATTTTTACAATCAACCGAACAAAAGCGTGCAACTTCAACAGAAAGCATGATGGGGACAGGTATATTAGCAATTTCTTCTCTTTCCATTTTGTATGAGTTTGGGTTTGGGAGGGTTGGGTTGTTTTTTTTTATTGTTGTTACTTTAGAAGTCATTCTGTCGAAGTATTAATAGTAAAACATTTTTTGAAGGCACACACTGATGCAAGAAACAGTACTGGCTAGCCTGGGGTGTTTTCTGCTTCTTCTGTGTTTTGAAATCATCAGAAGTACAGATGGCCAAAGGTCAGCTCTGAGCTCCTTCGGATAGACTTAGGAGTCAAGAAGGCAAGAGTGTAAACATGTCCTTAAAAATGCCTCGAGAGAGGTTTTTAAACAAATATAGCATCTCCATATCTTAGTGATATGATGTAAGATTATAATGCAGAGTTATATAATTCTATTTCCTATTATCTTATCTGATATGTTCAAAAGATATAGATGAAAGCAGAATTAATTCATTGTTGGAACTAAAGCTTTGGCTTCCTTTTTAAATATTGTTACAGTAGCCTTACCTAACCTAGTGTCCTACAATAGCTTATATAAATTTTAACATCACCATCTAGCAGCACAGTGAAAGGTACCAGGTTATGTTACAAGTTCTTTTAAAAGTATCTGCTTATCCGAAGGTTTTGGAAAGAGAAGCCACTCCACAGTGCTTCTCACACATTTTCATAGGTACACACAGTACGCATTTGCATAGTGTCCCTCAGCATTAGTATAAATACCTTTGTTTCTATTTAATTTGATGGGGTTGCCATCTTTAAACTAAAACTGTATTCTGGTCTGTGACCATAATTAAAGATTGATTGATTAAAATGAAACTGTAAAAAACTTGCTTATGTTTCAATTGAATGCCATTCTTCTTATGTAAAAAGAGAAAGATCTAAAATAAAGCATACTTTACCATAAACTTTTTAAAACAAGGGCCTACTTCAAAATGGACAAAACTTCATCTCATTTGGCACAGACGTCTGGAGAAAAAGGGAAACAAAAACCAATGACAGTGTCTAAGAATGGGAAGGAAATGCAGGATATGTAACCACACAATTCTTATGCAAAACAAGCGCAACATTTACTGCGAATTCGTGTATGGTGGCAGCCAAACATTAGGTAACATAACGTGATTTCTGAGCGTCCTTACGAATATCACTTCCACGGGTCTATGTTTTTGTTTTTTTAACAAGGCGATTCCTTGGAAATCTGAACGCGAACTGAGCAGCTTTTTTAGATCCTCACTAACTCAAGAGGCGAGGGGGCAGATACAGAAAAAGTTCTTTATTTCATCGGACTCTAAAGCGATCCCATGAGAGGGGTGCCCCCTATTTTCGTTCTTCGTCCCGCCTCCCTCAGCAGATCCCTCGGACGAATTGACTACACGGATCTATTTTGCATTAAAGACTTACCTCTACCACCGCGTCGCAAGCCCAGCCCTTCTTTCCACCACGGGTCTCAACACTCACGTGGAGCCTCGAAACTCCCCCCACCGAGGCACAAAAAGGCCCGCCTTCCAGCCGTTGGCCGCCTCTTATTGGCTGCTGAGAGCGGTTACCATTCCGGCGGCGGGCGGGCTCCTTTGTGACGCCAGAATCAGCTGTTTGAACGTTCCAATTTCTGAGCCAAGATCAACTGGGGATTCAGCAATAACCGAAAAATAATAATACGAAAACTACATTTGGGGAGGGAGAGCGTCCGGATGTAAGGGCATCTGCATGCATTTTGCAGTGTTGCATATCTTCTGGGAAGATCAGAGACACAATTGACATTACCACCGCAACCATCTCCTTTTCTTGCATATGTTTTTTTGGTGGGGTGTCTTTTAAAAAAAACAGCCCTCAGTTCTATTATGAGCCTTAGTTGTTGATTTCAATTAAAACTACCTCACAGACTTCGCCTAAAGCTGGTGCTTTAAAAAAAAAAAAACTTGTAGGGTTTTTATATGTGTGTGCTTGTGGCGTGATTTACAAAACAGTTGATGACATTAAAAGGCAAGTGAAGGTAAGTGATGTTCTCCCTCTCTCCGACAGTTTATTTTTAAACTTGAGTACCCTCTCTTTGTGGGAAAGAAACCACCTGCGGTAGATATTGTATGCTGTAGAGGGTAGATGTTGCTCGTGTCTTTGTTTCTTTGTTTTCTATTTCTTTGATTCAGTACTCTACTGCATATTTTCTTTTTTGCAGTAGCTTATGGCATTCAGTTTTGATGCCGATTTTCTTTCTGAAGGGACATTTTTTTAATTCTCCTTTACATTTGGCAGTACATCTGTGAGCCTTGGTGCTTCGTTGATTTCTTGGTATGTTGTTATGGACGCGTTGTGGTTTCATCTTCTGGTTAGCAGGCAGAGACCAAAGCAGCCTTATTTGGCGGTAGCAGAATAGACCAAGATCTTTGTTTTGAGTTGAGAAACCAGACTCGCTTGGTATGGCGCGCGGGGGGGGGGGGCGATTGGTGGTATCTTGTTTACTTTAAACCACTTGCAGATGAAAACTGCTGTGTGTGTGTGTGTGTGCGTATATCATATTAGTGTAAGATTTATGAGACGAGGACATCCCAGGTTTAAAAACAGGTGCGCTGTAAAAAAAAACCCGCTTCATAACTATTCGTAATGAATATTGTTTAGTTCATTCGGGAAAGGAATCGGTATTAAACAAAAGGGCTGTCGGAACAAAAATGTCAGAAGGCGCCCGCGAGGAGCTCGGGATTTGAGCCGTGGACTTGGCTTCCTCGACCGACGGTGCAAAAAAGAGCCTTTTGTCTTGACTTTCTTTGGGAACCGTCGGGAAGAGACGCAGCCGACCCGCAGAAAGGACTAATTTAATCCAGGGAGAGACGAAGGAAAGATGTGGGGAGGAGGAAGGGAAGACGAAAACATCCTTTGCCTTGTGGGTGCGGAGGTTCGCTTCTCCCTCTCACTGAGGCCATAGCAGCCGCTGGCGGGTTGGAAAAGGTTCCTCGTAATTAGCTGCAGATCAGAGCGGGGACTTCAGTTGTAGCCTTGAGCGCCAGGTTACCGTAGCTCTGCCAGGGAAGGATTACGCACCGCAACCCGGCCGGCTCGCTCTGGCTGTGTGGGGTTGTGGGGTGGGTGGGTTCCTACAGCTGATGCCCAGCTAGATGTAGCGCGGCTGTTGGCCCGGTTGCTCGGTCTCTTCCTTCCGTTTGTTTTGCTTCGCTGGCGATTTCACCCTTTGTGGGGCTAGGCCAGGGGTAGGCAACCTTGGCTCTTTTATGACTCGTGGACTTCAACTCCCAGAATTCCTGAGCCAGCATAGCTGGCTCAGGAATTCTGGGAGTTGAAGTCCACGAGTCATAAAAGAGCCAAGGTTGCCTACCCCTGGGCTAGGCGAAGGGGACTGATCTGGGTTTAGAAGTACAGTATAAACCTGGTTCAGGCGTGTCCTTGAATAGATTCTGGTGAGGTGGAGAGCTGGAAAGAAAGGAATCTGGAACTCCTTCCTTATCTGAACATTGATCTCCCTGGCAAGGAGCGTTTGGGTAAGACCGGGCAGGGCCTTGCGTTTTCTTAAAGGACTTGACTGTTGAGTGACATCAGCTTCTGAATTAAAGCCCACTACGTCAGATACAATGAAGCAGGATGGGTGTCTTTTCTCTTTAAAGACGAAACGGAGCTGGGGGGGGGGGGAAGAGAGAAGGGGAGCAATCGTGTTAAATGACAACTTTCCAGATCCGATTCCGAAGGAAAAAAAAAAGAACACTTAATTTCGTTAATTTCACTGCGATTTCTCCTCTTCTTCACATCTCCGTTGTCTTCTCTTGCTGCCTCTTTTGTTATTCGCTTCTTCGTCAACGGATCAAGATTAAAAAACTGGTTTCTGTTGCTATTGGCTGCCTGGGACTAAAAGCCCGGGTTGACGTTCTCATAATTTGCATATGACATTGTGACGTCACCAAGGCCAGCCCTTTCCAACCTCCCTCCTCCCGCTCCCCGCCTACGCATGCTGAAGCTGTCCTCTTTTGACCTGGGTAGTTGGGCTGTCACGTTTTGGAGTGCTGGAGTTGGGCTCAGGCCTTTGATAATTTGATGGCGAAGGGAGCAATGTCACCTTTTTCTTTTGGTACTGATGGAAAAGGAGGTTTGGCAGTGGTATCAAGTAAAACACAAGTGAAAGGCTGAGGAGGATTGACATCAAAATCAACTTATCTTCATTACGGATAGTTTTGCAGGGTAGTTCATATTTGATTTCATATTTTAGCAAGCACGATTTAATGATAGTGGCTGGCAAGTCAAATCTTAGATGTGATACTAAAATGGGAATCTGCAAATGTGGGATTTTCAGAAAGCTAACGGAAGGGGTGTGTAGGTATGGAAATTTGGGTATAATTATGGCTGTTTTAAAATGTGACATTGCCACAATATCAAAATGCAATAATACGAAGACGTACGGGATACACACAGGAAGGTTGAATCGACTTTATCTTAAGAAAATTATTTCAACGGACAGGTACTGTTCAGTACCATTCACCCATTAAACTTTAAATATGTGTGTGTGTGTGTGAATGTGAAATATTTTGATATTTGATTGGACGAGACTTATTCTTTTAATGAATACAAGATAATAAACCGTAACTTTCAATGGCACATAATAGAAATAGCTATGACTCTAAAATCCTATTCCACTGAACGTCTTATTCCTCAGCCCTTTCAGTGTCTGAGATTTCCATGGGCATTCCCTAATCATACACTGCCACTATGTCTTTCTTATCTTGATCAGGAATTTAAAAAGTTATTTTACATTTAAACAGCACTAGGCCTCAAACCATGATTCTTTCTCTGTGTGAGAGGAAGGCAGGGGAACAGGTGTATTTATTTTGAGATGTCATTGTTACACTGAATATTATTTAATCAGTAGGAATGCATTCCTGAACTGGAAGAATTTGTTTTCATCTCTGCATTGATTAAATAATCAAGCAGTATTTCCCAACTTGGTACATTCCAGATGTTTTTGATTTTGATATTCTGGCTGAGAATTACAGGAGTCAAATTCTAGCACATCTGGAAGATAACAGGTTGGGAAAGTCTGAAATGTAATTTCTAAAATGCAGCCACATTCAAATAGTCCAGGTTTTGCCGAAATGTCAACAGTTTCACCATATATACCAAGCATCATAAGCTCTATAGCAGGGGTGTCAAACTGCCGGCCCATGGGCCGGATATGTCATGGCGAAACAGCACCAACCCTATTGCTGGCAATGGAAAAAAAGTCACGATACGTTGCGACACGTCACAGGACGTTGCAAGTTTGACACCTCTGCTCTATAGTGTTCATCTGATCTGGCTGCTATCTGTTTTTATAGCACATGATTACATATGATGCCAAGATGTCTAAAAGATGAACCAATAATGCTATGTTAAATTAAACCACTTGTAAAATAAAATAAAAGTATAAACATTANTTCCCCCTAAAAATTTGTTAAAACACCCCTGTAAAAACCTTCTCAATTTACATAATTTCAACAATTTTTTGTCCCTGGCCCCTGCATGCCGCCTCTCGGGGTTCCACGTCCCGTCCTCGAGGTAGGCCCTAGGAATGTTGCTGGGCCAGGCCTGCACGAGGGGTGAGTCGCGCAGGGCCAGCAGGACCGTCCTAGAATACATAGGTCCGATGCAGGGAGTCCATGGCACAGAGGGGGGATGAATTATTGGTGGATCTCAGGTCTTCTGACCGAAGCCAGGGAACAAAAAGTCTGACCTCAGGGGATAGTCCTTAAGTCCTCCAGAACCCAATCCTCTAGGCCAGGGCGGGCCAAGTCCGAAACCAAGCCCCAAGTCCTCACCTGGCCGAGGCCGTTGGAAGGGCCGTTGAGGTCGCCAGAGCCGCCGGGGCCATTGGGAGGACCATCAGGGCCACTGGCCCAGTTCTTAAAGGGCCTCAGGTCCAAGAGGGCCGCAGGGGCCCAGGGTCCAAGAGGGCCGCAGGGGCCCAGGGTCCAAGAGGGCCGCTGGCCCAGTTCTTAAAGGCCCTCAGGTCCAAGAGGGCCGCAGGGGCCGCTGGCCCAGTTCTTAGAGGGCCGCCAGAGCTACCAGAAAGGCCCTCAGGTCCGAGGGCATACTTTCAATGGCACATAATAGAAATAGCTATGACTCTAAAATCCTATTCCACTGAACATCTTATTCCTCAGCCCTTTCAGTGTCTGAGATTTCCATGGGCATTTCCTAATCATACACTGCCACTATGTCTTTCTTATCTTGATCAGGAATTTAAAAAGTTATTTTACATTTAAACAGCACTAGGCCTCAAACCATGATTCTTTCTCTGTGTGAGAGGAAGGCAGGGGAACAGGTGTATTTATTTTGAGATGTCATTGTTACACTGAATATTATTTAATCAGTAGGAATGCATTCCTGAACTGGAAGAATTTGTTTTCATCTCTGCATTGATTAAATAATCAAGCAGCATTTCCCAACTTGGTACATTCCAGATGTTTTTGATTTTGATATTCTGGCTGAGAATTACAGGAGTCAAATTCTAGCACATCTGGAAGATAACAGGTTGGGAAAGTCTGAAATGTAATTTCTAAAATGCAGCCACATTCAAATAGTCCAAGTTTTGCTGAAATGTCAACAGTTTCAACATATATACCAAGCATCATAAGCTCTATAGCAGGGGTGTCAAACTGCCGGCCCATGGGCCGGATATGTCATGGCGAAACAGCACCAACCCTATTGCTGGCAATGGAAAAAAAAGTCACGATACGTTGCGACACGTCACAGGACGTTGCAAGTTTGACACCTCTGCTCTATAGTGTTCATCTGATCTGGCTGCTATCTGTTTTTATAGCACATGATTACATATGATGCCAAGATGTCTAAAAGATGAACCAATAATGCTATGTTAAATTAAACCACTTGTAAAATAAAATAAAAGTATAAACATTA